ATAAGTTCTGGATTAATCTAATATCATTCTCAAATAAATCACGCTTATCTAATATTTCAATTAATTACCAACTAACTTTCCCATAAGCTGAAATATATATGAACCTACTCTAGATTACCTGTTCGTTTTGACTGAAGTTGAACACTACTATTTCACCAACAGCTGATGTGTTAATTTTTTTTACTTACGGAGTTACTAAGTGCTCCTCTTGCTTCAATTATTATGGCAATACTTTATAGCCTTCCACCTCTCTGAGGTAACTGTATACTGTATACTGTACCAAGTATTCTAGATTTAATAAAAAAACACGACATCGAAAGTCTTTTTTTCTAGGCCGGTATATTCTCACTTAGATAACGGACGTTACGCAATATTCCATTTCTCATTTCGACTTTTTTTTTCTTTTCGACTAATTTAAGCTAACTAAAAATCGAAATAAGAATATTTTATCATCCTTGTTAGGAATTTTAGCAATTTTAAATTTCATATAAAATGTTCATGAATGTATTTAAAGAACTGGCGTGTTATTTTGGCTGTTATATCACACCGATTTAAAAATACCACTGAATTGTTGATGTTTTATGAATAAAACTAACTGGAAATACTTGAGGTGTCTAGCTAAATTACAAGGTAGGAACGTTACGATTGTATCCAATTTGGATGTCATTCTCAGGCACAAGGTAGAAAAATAAAAATTCAACAATTGTCACTAATTACAACGGTGCGAGACGGAAGAAAAAAACAGTTTTGTAACAAAATGTAAATGGTTTCTGCAGTTTTTGTTTTATTCTGTTTCCTCACTTCCATTTCTTTGCAACAAAATATCTAAGTTGTTTCAATTTATCAATAAAATTTCGGATAGGCAAAAGTAAGGGAAAAGAAAAAGGAATCCAAGATTCAATTCTTCAAAAGGTAAAAAAAGATTCACTCGATAATTGAACAATTTGCTTTCCGAATGATTGATAATGAAGTGAAGATATTTATATAAGTAATGTATGTTACGCGTTCATAAACATGATTTTATCGATAGACTTTTTAAACTAACCGTTGCGCGCGCTTTCCTGAACAAAATGGGATATCAATCACTTTCTTTCCCTCTCTCTCTCTCTCTCTCTCTCTCTCTCTCTCTCTCTCTCTCTCTGTGTTTGTTTGTTTGGTTAGCGGCAACTCAATATGGGTCACTTAATGCCGAAATTTAATTTTCTTGGGAGTAGGAGTAATTTCTTTTTCAAAAACATATTACTGCTTTTTTTTTACTATGAAAATGTACTGTTGGTATTTTTATTATAAAAAGGTATTTTGATGCTTTCATATTCTTTTGACTCCAGTTTGGGGGTTAACTATTTGCCTATAGCTGGGACCCCAACAGGTGCTATCACCTCGGGTTAGGATGGACCTAAGAACAACAGCAATTAAGAGGTAGCTCCACACTCCTCAAAAATCCTAATCAGAGGACTTGCTACCAAATGTAGTTTATCGTCATACACTGGACGATCTCTGCTTGTCTGACTGTCTGTCTGTCTGTCTGTCTGTCTGTCTGTCTCTCTCTCTCTCTCTCTATATATATATATATATATGTGTGTGTGTGTTTTTGTGCGTTTTTGTGTGTTTTAATAATGTCTTAAATAGTAATAATGAAAGCATATTAATACAAATGAAAATGCATCCAAGGAACCTTTCGACCAACTCTTCTTCAGAGACATATCGTTGCGACAATTTTGTTCTTATTAGGACCGACAAGAACTCCGAAAACATTAAGCGGGATAATAGAATAGGACAACGCACCGGTCTTCTAGTAATTAAGTCGTGCCTTTTTCCGTATGATCACTGAAGTTAAACAACGTCGACCATGGTCAGTAGCTTGATGGGTGACCGCATGGGAATACCAGGTGTTGTATGCTTGGATATGCATGTGGTAAAATGGATAATAGAACGGAATTATTAATCGGAAAGCCGAGTTTCAATTCCGGTTCGGTTCCTTATACTTACTTAAACGCAAATAACCTTTGGAAATGTAGGAATCCACATCTTCTCCCTCATGAGCTAATTAGAAAGACTTGTATCTCTAAATCATTGTTACCACAGAAAATCTAAAATATTTTCTGGCTTTAAATAACCAGCAAAGGGTTGATAATTCGAAAAAAAAAAAAAAACAAATCAATCAATTAATTAATCCGTTCCATTTTCCAGGGTGAACACAGCATTTTCATATTTTTTTTTATTTCTATCTTACAATATCTGGGTCTTCTTCAGCTTAGTAATAAATTTTATTCGTTTTTATTTAAACAAATTAAATTCTTTTCTTAATTGTTAGAAGACGATTTTTATCTTTTAACATGCACCAGTGGAGTGTTCGCCTACCTTATTAGCCACCTATTTGTTTTCGATGTTCTTCGTCAATATTAATAATAATAATAAAAATCGCCAGTGATATATCTTTGAAGAATATATATATATATATATATATATATATATATATATATATATATATATGTAAAAGGAACATTGCAGTCAACACTTAAAAGGCGACAGTCAGTTTCATGCTTGACGGGGATGAAACAGACTGTCGCCTCTAAGTGTTGACTTCAATGTTCACTTTTATATTTACACACGCTTTATCTCTGATATTGAGCACTTTTTATTCCATAAATATAGAACACTTAAGACTACATATATATATATATATATATATATATATATATATATATATATATATATATATATATATATATATCACAGACATCAAATTTATATATATATATATATATATATATTTTTACAGACAACGAATTTCCACAAAGCCTAGAATCAGCCTACTTAGAAAATCAGCTTTTAAAGTCATGCCATTTTGCCCGGGCTCGAACAGCAATTAATGGCGTTGGTGCGAAATTATTTTTCGTTCCCTTACATTCACTCTGTATGTAACATTTACTTTTCAGTATTTGCTGACTTGAGAACGATTATGAGTCCATGTCTTCTCCCCCTAACTATGGATTAAATAGTAGGGGATGTATCTGGAAAAAAACATTGTTATTTCAAAAAAATTGTTAATGGAATATTCACTGAGAATTATTCTTACAATCCAAAGCATATGTTCCGGCTTTAAATAATCCACAAATGGTCGATAAACAGTTAAAATCAAATCAATCAATCAATATTTTCCAACTTGATATCGTCTTTCGACCTCGAGAATCACCATCTAAAATCCTGCCCACCTGGCCTCGAAAGAACTGTATAGATATTTAACCTTCTAGGAGCTATATGCATTAGTAGATCTTATGTTTGCATATGTGTTACTTTTTTTCGTTCTATTAGCAAAATGATTGATCACCGCATTTATTGCTTTTGTCTTATATTAGCAAACCTGACACATTACAGTACAAGCCACCGTCTGAAATATTGCAAGAATTTTGATTTTTATTCCCTTTTCAACAGGCTGACAGCTTTGCTCGCCAGAAAAGATCTTTTTTCTTCAAATACATCACGTTTTATTATTATAAGTATTTTCACAGCAACTGTTGCGTCGAATTGCTTACGCTGGTTCTAAGATTGCATGAATTTAAGCGAGCTACTGGGTCGCATCTCGGCCCTACTCTTTCACTGTCGAAACGGTTACATTTAACAGTTTCTTCTACCCAAACAGCTTCTTTTCTCGCACTTCCTGTCTGTGGAATTCTCTTCCTAATGTTCCTTGATAACTATAATCTTCAAATATTCAAGTGTGCTGTCACTCGACATCTGATACCTTGATCTTGTTCCCCGTCCTTTTCTTTATCCTCTCCACAAAACACCCCTCTTTTCTTTTGTTATCTACACTCTGTAACCCCTTGTGTGCTAGTGGCACACCCGCCTTGGTTGGGGTGAAATGCTTAAAACAAAATTCTCGCTTATAGAACTCGAGTCCATCTTCTTCCTCCCCAGTCAAGTTTGATTTTCAAAAATATACATGTAATTTCAATCGTTGTCTTATCTCGTCTTAATTTTTCTTCTTTTATCGTTCTCTCTCCTTAATAATGCATTTACTTTTCATATAGGAACCACCTTGGTGGCTTTGTTGGTTTGCTTGTGGTGAAACCATAATTTTTTAAGAAAACGATTCATTTTTTTTTTTTTTTTTTTTTTTTTTTTTTTTTTTTTTTTTTTTTTTTTTTTTTTTTTTTTTTTTTTTTTTTTTTTGGTCGGGGAACGCATTTTCTTTACTAAAACTCATTTCCAAGCATGTCGGCTAGCCAATCCCCGCTGAAGACGCCAGCTCAGGCACATTCATGTTATTTGGAAGCCAGCAGAACCCACCTGTAGTTTATACTGCAACTATGCTGGAGCAAACTTCACAGACAATTTTCAAAGAGGCTGCACATTGGGATAGCCCACGCCCTCTCAGGAAGTCATCTCCCTGACAAATCGAAAATTTTGTCTGAAGAAGTATTTGGATGTTAATGACCCTTTTTCAAAACTATATAAATACCAAAATATTCGTTGTTTGTAGGGATATTTATCTTATCGAGGAATCCAATTATTCCCAATTATATCCCTGTTTTTATACGGTTTCTTTGCATATCCCCTTTAAATAATTTTTTCGGGTAGTATATGTTGAAGGACATTTTTAATACTCAAAATCCTATATCGCCCACCAAAATTCCCAATCGCCGACCATTTTATGTTCAGTTGCTCATCGCCCAACCAGAAGTTAAGATCGCTCAGGTTTGGAAACATCTTTATAGTAGATACTTCGTATTTTAAATAGACGCCCTATCTTTTATTTATTAAACAGTGTGTATTACGTCTATCGACTTGCGTATTTGAGAAATTTTGATAAAGAAAATGCGTTCCCCGTCAAAAAATAAATAAATAAATAAATAAATAAATAAAATAAAAAAAATGAATCGTCTTTTTAAAATTTATGGTTTCATCCCCAAGCAAGTCAACATAACCACCAAATGTGGTTCCTATAAGAAAAGGAAAAGCATTATTGAGGAGCGTGGACAAGAAAAGATAACGATTGAAATTGCATATATATATATTTTGAAGATCAAACTTGATTAGTAAAGAAAAAGCCGGGCGCGAACCAGTGATATTACACATTCTTCTTAGAATTTCATCAAGGATCTCAAAATATAAATATTGTGACCATGTAAATGGTTTAAGAAATAACAAAACAAGTGTTACAGATATGACATATTAAACAGTAAATACAACAGAAGAGTATTACAGGATTAGTGAGTGTGGGTCGGTTGACCAACGTTCAATCTATTCGACTGTTGATATTTACCAGCCTCCCAACGAGGTCAGATGTGGCACAAGGAGGAGTTTACTGTGGGGCAATCCGATCCCGTAGGCTCGGCCGAAAATTCCCCGTAGACCTCGTATCAAACGGAAGAAGAGTCCAACATAGACTCTTTAGAGGAAGGACACCACATCAATATAACAGGAGCACTAGAGCATAAGTGGAATCAATATACAAAGGATAGATAAATGGTAGATTCGAGAGAGAAAAATTGTCTGGCACGACAGCGAACCAGCAGACTTAGTTCAATCTAATCGTTCCGGAAGGCATTAGCCTGAGAAGGCGCAGCGAGACACCCTCCTGAATTTTAATATGTCATGCTGATGAGAGACAGAAAGTTTCATTTTGGAGGCGTTAAAATTAACAAGACATTCCTTGCCCCAGTTAACAATTGAATGTGAACTATTTTTTTTAGATCAACTGCCAATTTGACTTTATCGAACCGACAAAGACTTAGTATATCACAATCTTTCGGTCGTTGTGTGCTCTACTCGGCTTCTGGTGATTGTTGATCTGGGTAAACTTAATATATCTGCTAAAGAATATGACAAAATAAGTAAATATAGAAATCTTGAAACGTAAACTGAAAAAAGGTTGCATAGCATTTATAATAACTGGATCCTTGTGAAGAGCCAGAAATGTTTCAGATAAGACGATTACCATTAATAAAATCGTTTGCAGCTCCACTCTACAAGAGAAAATTAAGAAATTAAACAGCTTAGAAGCGAATTATCAGTACTCGATGAACTGACAAAAGGAACAAGTGTAAGGACTAGAAAAGGCAGAAAAGTGAAAAGAAAATACGGAATTAGGAATGAAAATGAAGCCCTAAAGAAAAAATAAAGCAAGCAATACAAGTGAAGGCTCAAAGAATCAGACATGAAAAACGATCAAGATTCTACAGACAGAACAAGATCTTTCAAACTGATGCGAAGAAATCTTACAGAGAAATAGGCAAACAAAAAATTAAAATGATACCTCCAACAACAATGGAAGATTTTATTCAGTACTGAAAAAATATGGGCATACCCTAAAGAACATAAAAAAAGAAGCAGATTGAATTGTGCAAGAGTTAGAACAAACGAAAAAAACAAAAAACAACAAAAAAAAACAAACATGGGCGGAAATCACAAAAGAGGATGTTGAATGGGCACTGAAAAAAAGCACACAATTGTCAATCTCCAGGAATAGATAAAATCACTAACCATTGACTCTATTATCAAAAAGACTAAAGATGTCAGAAGAACTTCAAGAAATGGTCAATGATGCTACTAATATTACAGCATGGGTAATCAAAGGAATTACCTTCTTTCTCTCCAAGAATGGTGACGCACATCTCCCCAAAAGCTACAGACTCAACTATATGTCTCTTACTAATTACAAACTATTCACATCTATTCTGACAAAACAGACATATTCCTTCTTAGAAAAAATGACATATTACCTCTTGAACAAAGAAGGTGCAAGCATGAGTCTTACAGATGTAAAGGAGAGTTAGTAATTAATAGGAGGATCTTGGAAAACTGCTCCAATACAAAGAAAAATCTCAGTACTGCCTGGATAGATGACAGTAAGGCATTCGGTAGTGTACCCTATTCCTTGACCTTAAAGTCTT